AGCCACTCACCCATTCTTCCCAGTGCGTCCGCGCACTTGCTGGCTGCCGGACACTGAGGCCAGCCGTTGCTCTGGGCCCAGCAGGTGGCACCTGGGCCCAGGAGGCTGGGCCACGGCCCGTGGGGACCAGCGTCCAATTGGACCCGGCAACGCGTGGCCTCTCGGCAGCCAGCAGCCCGTTTGATGCTTCTGGGGCCACGGGGCTGGAGGAGGCTCCTGCTGAGCGCGCGGGCGGGGCCTCGTTTGTGTGCGTTGTTCTCGCACTCAGGGTGCTTCTCCCCGAGTTCCCCTGAAATGCTTCTCCCCGAGTTCCCCTGAAATGAAACCAACGGGCTCCGGGTGCCCGGGAGTGTTCCTTGTCCCCGATGTTGTCCCCCATGGAAGCTGCTCAAACCAGTGGTCCAGCCTGGATAGCAATGCTGACGGCCACATGGCTGGTCTTGGTTCCATGCGAGGGGCTCACTACAGTGCCTGGCACACAGCAGGCACTCACTAAATGTATGTATGCATGAGAGACATAGTAGGTGAGCCATGGAATAGTCCACATGGCAAGATGTTTTAAGAGCACACCAAGATGTTTGCCCGGTCAGTGTGGCTCAGTGGTTGAGCGTCAGCCTGTGGACCAGGTGGTCACAGTTCGATTCACGGTCAAGGGCACTTGCCTGGGTGGCGGCTGGATCCCCAGTGGGGGGCGTGCACAGGGCAGCTGATCCATGATTCTCTCTCATCACTGATGCTTCTCTCTCTCTCTCCCTTCCTCTCTGAAACCAATAAAAACATATTTAAAAAGAAGAAGAGCACGCCACGGCGTTTTGACACCAGAGGGAGGGCCTGGGCGTGGCTGGGTCAGGCTGTGACGGGCCGGGCTGTCCCACAGGGTCTTCTTCCTGAACGTGCCACTGGACTCGGTCATCGAGCGGCTGACCCTGAGGAGAACCGATCCTGTCACCGGAGAAAGGTCGGTGCCAGGCCCCCCGGGGACCTCCTCTCTCCGCCTGGCTGACCGATGGTCGGCGGGACATCCAGGGCGGCACGGTGACTGCCGACAGAAGCCTCTAGAAAGGGGTTATTCCCACCAGCTCCCTGGGCAGCCTCTGGTCACCCTCTTCTCCTGGGAGAGAAACCAGGACACGAACGTACGAGGCACTCGGCAGTCCGGGTGATGTTCGCCCGGCTGTCCTGGGCGGCAGCTGCGACCCCAGCGTGGGCCCCATGGCCCCGGGCAGGTGTCCCCTGTGCCTGTCACTGGCCTTGGCTCTCACAGCGACACTGCACCCCCCTGACCCCCCCGTGGGGACCGGTTCACCTCTGAGCCTTCCCGTGGTTACGGGGGTGATTCTGAGTTTTACTCTGCAGTCTGACCCGGTCCAGTCCCTGTGTTCATGTTGAATGCAATGTCAAGGCCCTGCAGTCACACAGGGGTAAAAGCCTCCATCCTCCGGGGTAAGCCACGTTTCTTGGCAACCAGGACCACGTTTCTTGGTAACCAGGACCACGTTTCTTGGTAACCAAGACCATGTTTCTCGGTAACCAGGAGCATGTTTCTCGGTAACTAGGAGCATGTTTCTTGGCAACGTGGCAGGGGAGAAGGGGCCTCTGTCCGAC